GTTTTCAGAGACTGGGTCTGAGAACTCCAGTACCTGGCATCTTCGTGGGACTGTGTTGGGACCTGTGATTTTTTGCGGGCGTCTCACACGTGCCTCCTTGTTTCCCCGGGGTGCACAGTCCCAAGCGGAGGAAGGTCCGAGGTGTGAGAAGGCACAGAGGGCGCATCTAAGTGAGTATTTTATTACGTATATTTTGCCAAGAAAAGAATAAAAATGTTTAAAAAATCAGGTAGAACACCTGATAAACACATAACGAAGAGTTAAAAACCCACGCACATGAAAAACGTCCCTGTTAGGAAAGCAGACACCGGGCTGGATGTCCGTGGGCTTCGAGGGAGGGGCTGTGACAGGCGCCTGGTGCTCAGGGAAGGCTCCTCGGAGGAGGCGGCTTCCGCGTTCCAGGTGGGTGAGTGAGGCTGGTGGGGGCCGGGTGGTGTGACCGCCCAGGCTGAGGGGAGGCCTGGGTGAGAGAAGAGAGGGTGGAGCAGCGTGGAGGGGCCCACACGGCACGTCGTTCCTGGCTCCTGCACTGAGACGGGAGGACGGGGCCAAGGACGAGGTCGCCACAAAGGGGCCTGAAGGAGGGGACGACATGCCCTGTGCAGAGTGAATAGGGGCTTTTCTGCAGGCGGGGACGTCACATTGTCCAGGAGGGGGTGGTGCTGGCTTGGACCTGGGCGGAGGCCAGCAGAAGGAGAGGATCGGATGGAATCAGAGAGCAAAGGAGGTGGAGTTGGGAAGCGTGGTGATGTGGGAACCGGGTGAGGAAGGCTCTGGCAAGGTCACAGCTGTAGGGAAAGCAGGAGGCTGGGCTCCCCGGTGAGGGAGCCTGTGAAACCCTCTGGGGCGGGGAGGCCGGGATCCGCCTCGCTGTCCAGGGGGAGGGCTTCGGGGCCAGCCGTTGGCCTCCCACGAGGAGTCAAGACACCCACCTCTGCTGAATTATTTAGCCCCTGCCTCTCAGCTGTGACTCCGTTGGCAGGGCCTGGGCTAGAAAATCAGGCTGCTCGGCTGGCAGCCCAGGGAGTGGGGACAGGGGAGCCCTGAGTCTCAGGGAGAGAGCCCACCTCTTGCCTGCAGCCAGGCCTCTGGCTGGGCTGGAAGGGGGACTGTCCCTGCACCTTCCCTCCTGCCCACTTCCGGGAGGCTGGAAGCCTGGCCTCCTGACTCTGCCCAGCGGAGGTTGGCTCCATGTGAGGGCTAATGGGAGTGAAGCTCTGAAGCGGAGGTGTCTCCTCGCCCTGGTCCAGGCCCTCTGCCCCCACCACCCCTCTGCTTGTCTCTTTGGATCCCAGGAGCCGGTCAAGGAGGGCCCTGGAAGCAAAGCTCGGCAGTGCAGCGGCCTCTGGTCCTGACCCCTGGGACCTGGCATTGGGCAGTCAATTGAAGCCCTGGGCAGGACTTGTGAAAGACTCAGCCAGAGAAGACCCCTCCGGTCATCCAACCCCCAGCACCCTATCTCTGTCTTCACTATCTGCCTGGCTCCCTGCCTGCACCCAGCGTGAGCCCAGAGGTCAGCCTCCACGGGTGTCGACGGCTCCATTCAGGGCAGCCACGGGGCATGGGCAAGCGGGCTCAGCTGCCCTCCTTCCTGAGGGTCCCAGAGCTGGGCACCCGCACAGTCTGGGCTGGCCGCCCCTCCCACGAGGAGTTCACCTGCTCGCTTCCCTGTGGTGCCACACTTTCTCGGGGCCCTTGGGCTGCCCCAGGCCGCCACCCACCCAACAATGTGCTTACCCCCGGCCCCCAAGTTTCCCTTCCGACACAGGCCTATCCCCTCACTGATGGCCTAGTTCCTGGAGGTGTGTTTTTCTCCAGCGTGATATGTGTTCAAGTAACAATGTCTTATCTCTCCTGGGGAGAATTACAGGGATCCTAGGAGGGGCATTTTGGGGTGGCCAAGACCTTTCCACTCCAGGGCAGCTGCTGGAGACAGGTCACGGGCCCCAGGATAGAGTGTGTGTCCCTTGGGGACATCCCATGGCTATCGTGGGGGTAGAGCGACCATGAGGAGGTACAGGGAGCCTGAAGCTCTGCTCCGGGAAGGGGGGGCCGGCTGTGCGGTCTCAGGGTCAGTTGGGCTTCCTGAGGCCTCCTCCCTCCTCAGTTTGGGCCACCCCCAGGAGAATGGTTGGGGGTGAGCAGCGCCCCCTGCACCTTGCCTGCCCCCTGAGCTGCAGCTTCCCCTCCCCCGCCCAGCTCTTCTCAAAGCTTGCCACCCTCAAGGCCTGCCTGGTCCAAGATGGGCCCTCGGGAGCCCCCACACCTGCGCATCTGCTGCCCTTTGGCACAGGATCTAGCCTGCCGTGGTCTGACTGTGGCCTTGCTGGGTCTCCCACCTGACCTGCTGTGACTCCCATTAGGGCAGAGACCAAGTCCCAGGGTCCGAAGCTGTGGGACCAGAGGTGGACTCAGAACAGACCCATCACCAGTGAGGAGCGGAGGCCAGCCCAGGAAGGCCTTGCACCCCAGTGCAGGTGACCCGAGAGGCCTGCCAGGTCATTTTCTAACACCCCCACACCGGGGAGACCTCTGAAAGAAGTGATGAGGTGAACACCATGTGCTCAGGGTGTCGGGGGAGAAACAGCTTGTTTGCATTTCTCTTCATTTTGATGCAGAGACCAAGGACGGGGGACAGAGGTGGTGTCCGATGGCTCCGCTGTCGGGCAGGGGGCACCTGAGCTCCGGTTACTGCCCCCCGCTGGAAACAGGGCGCCGGGCCAGCAGGATCGGTGACTATTACTAATGCATGTGCTGGCTGTGGCCGAGCGGCCATCTCTGCCTCCCCAGCTGGGTCCCGGCAGGTGGGGGGGTCTGGAGCCCAAGTTCACCCAGCCCTGGCCCCAGCCACAGCCCTGGGGAAATGCCAAGACTGGCCTAGGGGACAACCGGCTCCCACTGCCTGAGAGCTCAGACCAGCAAAACAGAGGGGTCAGGCAGGATCCTGGTCCAGTGCCCCCCAGTGACGTGACCCCTGTCACTCAGTGCCTCCGGGACGCATCTGCGTCAGCTGCCTCCCGAAGATCTGGCACCTCCTCAGATTTGAATTCCATTTTTGCAAGGAAAATGATCTGAGCTCCAGCCAGGGCCTCCACCCTGGACAGTCTCCCTGCTCTTCCAGAGGTGCCCGGTGCCCCAGGGCTGCTCTGCTCCCCAAAGGCCCCAGACAGGCTGCTTGCTCCTCTGGGAGCCATGACCGAGATGCTCCCTGGATGCTCTGGCAAGCAGCTTTCCTGAGCTGGGCCCCAGCGTCCTCACCTGGATCCTCATGGGCCTGGTTTTACTGGTTGGTCTGTCTATGTCCTGCCTGGTTGCAGAAAGGATTGCTTGAGATACAGAGGGCAGATTACTGCCCTGTGCAACATGTCACAGGTGCTTTGGCACAGAGCTGAAGTGACTTGCTCAGGGCCAAACAGAACCCATCCAAGGTCGCACACCGACCTCCTTATCGCCAGCCCAGGTTCTTTCCACCAGCCTCCCATAGCTCCCCATGAATAATTTGCACCCGGCTGGCAGGGCGGTCATCGACCACATCCCTCTTCTCACTTTTCTGGAGCGGCAGCTCCAGCCTCTCCCTCTGGCAGCCCTCCACCCGCGCCCACGAGCTGGAGGACCTGGGTGTTCAAAATTCTTTCCATTTCTTTCCCCTGCTGGAAGGAAGCAGCCAAATAACGTCTCTCTCTTCCTCGGGTGGGCACCTCATGCCCCTCCAGCTGCCTCGTGTCATCCTGACTGGAGTCTCATTCATAAAATCATTCATCCGGGTCTGGCGCAAACGCAAATGCGAGACACTCATATATGCACACACGCTTACTCATCCACATTGCGAGAGCACCTCCAGAAAAGCACCTTTATTCATAACTGGATGTTTGCAATAACAAGAGTAGGAAGAAATGTACCTTTGTACTCTGTATGCAAACAAGTGTTGAAAAAATCAAGAGCATGATTGAGAAAAAAGGCTTCTTTAGTGTCCCATGAGAAGTGTAGACACCAGCCCTTCGGGAGATTATGGTGAGCGAACTGACGACAGGAAGGTGTCCCCTCGGCTGAACTCTGGGGCCTGAGTCTCCTCTTACCATTTGGGTAGGGCCAGAGCTCCTGTGACCTTTTCTGTAAATGCTAAAAACTTGTATTTCCTGGAAGAGTCTCTGATTGGATCCTTCATCACCTTCCAACATAGAGGCCCCAGTGAGGCAGTTCGCCCCCCAACCTCCTCAAACGCTGTGGGGCTCCCGAGGTGCCCTCTGTGGCTCAGTGTCCGGCGCAGGCGTGAGTCTTTGGCGCAGCTGGTTGTGGACAGGCTGGCGGGAGGCAGCGCGCATTCTTAAAGGAGCGGCCGGCAGCTTCTACAGACCAGGGCCGTGGAACCAGAACCTTTAAATACCAGACTCAAAAACACAAATAAACAAAGCAAAATAAAATACCAGACTCAGCTGTTTCCAGGTGCTTCAGAAATGTACTTGACAAATATTAGTAATAGCAAGATGTTAGAACTACTCACAGCGAGCAATTGAATAAACTGTGATATATTTACATAATGCAATTCTACATGACTGTGCAAAAAATAAAAGAAATAGCCCTGGCTGGTGTGGCTCAGTGGATTGAGTGCGGGCCTGCGAACCGAAGGGTCCCCAGTTTGATTCCGAGACAGGGCACATGCTGGGGTTGCTGGCTGGGCCCCCAGCCAAGGGTGTGTGAGAGGCAGCCACACTCTGATGTCTCGCTCCCTCTCTTTCTCCTTCCCTTCCCCTCTCTCTAAAAATAAATAAATAAAAATCTTTTTAAAATGTAATAAAAATATAAAAGAAATATTTTTTAAAATTTACTTCTGTGGGGTGGCCTCTCAGATATAGTAAATAAAATTTAAAAAATTTTAAGGTTAGAGCAGGGATAGATGCTAGATTTATCCGATATACGTTGTTTTATGGGTTTGGCTATGGAACTTTGTAAATATTTTGCAAAAAATATAAGACAAAATTAAATGTAAACCATTTGTAATAGGAAAATATATGAAACAGCCAAAATACGAATCAGTAGCAGGTTGGCTACCTAATTTTCACTCCATTCATAAAATGAGTTCTGTGCAGTGAAGAGCGGGACTGGCTGCTCGGTGCTTTAACCAGACGATGCTGTGAGGAGAACACAGCGCAGACTACAGGACGCACGCGTAATAGCGGACATAGTGTGCTTATATTTGCCTGCATTTACAAAACCCTGGAAGGAAACCTAAGATATAATGAAAGTAGCTGGAAAGAGGAAAATGGAGAAACTAGAGCACAGGTAGGAAGACTTTTCTTTTTTAAAATATTTTATTTATTTATTTTTAGAGAGGGGAAGGGAAGGAGAAAGAGTGGGAGAGAAACATCAGTGTGTGGTTGCCTCTCATGTGTCCCCTGCTGGGAACTGGCCTGCAACCCAGGCATGTGCCCTGACTGGGAATCGAACCACGATCCTCTGGCTCACAGGTCTGCGCTCAATCCACTGAGCTACACCAGCCAGGGCAGGAAAATTTTTCATTGAGTATCTTAAATGTTATTTCAGGTTCTGACCAAGTACATATATTACCTCTTTAAAGATAAAAATTCATTGAAACATGATTTAAAAATGAAATATTTAAAAAGTCCTAAAAATCAAAAGTGGAATAAAACAAAGGAACCATTGGCTCTAGTTTAAATAGCACATCCACAAAGATGTCTCGAAAACACAGAAATCTGGCTATACTCCTAGTAGAACATGCTCTAAAGATAGAAGAACTGAAAACATCTAAGTAGTTTTTAGCTGTCATGCTGGTGGCGGAGCTGTTGGCTTTGCTATTTGGGGCCAGCTGCGCTGGACGGTGGAATAAATCAAGTGAGCAATTACGTCGGTGTCCCGGAGAACTGACAGGTGAGAACTGTACCAGCTGGAGCATGTCCCCCAAGAGCCAAGCGGGGGCTGTGGAGGAGCCCCTGTCTCCAGCGGGCACCCTCTGGCATCTTGCTGAAAGTGTATCCTTCACTTTCACCCACGCTCCACGCTGCAGGCTCGTCTGAAAGGGAGCCGAGTAAACAGAGACCTAGGCTGGACCGGGCGACTCCGGAGAGAACTGCTCCCGGGCACTGCCCCAGACCCGGGGGGACTGGGAGGCAGCAGGGAGTCCTCGCCGGGTAGATGGAGTTGCACTGTTCGTGGAAGGGGGAGCCTGCAGAATGGGCAGCTTTGGGGTTCATGTAACGTGCTGGCGCTGAGGTTCCTGTGGGCCGGGCAGGTGCAGGTGTCCAGGGGCCACTGCAGCGGGGGGAAATCTGCCGGGACAAACCGATTCCACTGAGGATGGCTTGCGGGTGGTGGTGGAAGTCGGGTGACATCCCAGCCATTTTGAGAGGCTGCTGTATGTACCAAATGACCACACCTGGGTGGCTTTAACCACAGAGATGCCTCCGTTTGGAGGCCAGAAGTCTGAAATGAAGCAGACGGGGCTGCTCCCTCTGAGACTCTGGGACAGGGTGCCCCGTGCCTCCCCCAGGCACGCCTTGGCTGGAGGCACGCGTCACTCCAATCACACTGCCTCCTCCTCTGCTGTGTCTGTCTCCTTTGTGTGTCTCTTGTAAGGACACTTGTCACTGGATTTAGGGCCCACCCAGATAATCCCGGATGATCTCCTTGCCTCAAATCCTTACCTTGATTACATCTACAAAGAACCTGTTTCCAAATAAGGTAACATTCTCAGGTCCTGTGGATTGGGATGTGGGTATATTTTGGGGGGAGCCGCCTTTCAACCCCCTGCAGCACACTTAAAGGAGAACAGGCAAGGACCCTGAGAACAGGAGCCGCCCCTGGGACTAGACCATCGATGCCACAGGACTGCAGAGGGTCCCACTTGGGGAAGACAGAAGGTGGATGTGGACATTTCTACTCTGTTCGGATGCCACTGTTACACCACGGGTTTATTTTTCCGGGGTTTAGCAAAGTCTGTATTGAACGTTCCCACCAGTCTTGCCTGTGCTCGTGGGCCAGAGCGACAGAGGGAGCACAGCTCACCTGGGGCCACGCAGAGTCCGCAGCCATTAGTGGGAGAGACAGGGGGAAGTGGGGATCAGAGGCCCCACCCTCCCGGCTGCCTGCTCTTGGAGAGCTGGCTTCTGTTCTGTCCAGGAAGGTGATGTTCTTTGCGCAATAAGCTGGTGGTCCTGCTACAGAATAAGGAAGGCAGGGAAGGGGTGGGGGAGGGGCGGGGTGCGGAGGGGCGGGCAGAGAGATGGAGTCCAGACCCCGCAGGTTCTGGGCGACCCCCTTGCCCAGGGAAAGGCAGCTCAACCTTCTTTAAGCCAAGGAGCCTCAAGGCAGGCGCTGGCGAGTGCGCGCCTGTGCCTGCAGTGAGCGGTCAGGGTGGTACCGAGGAAGAAGGCACCCCAGGCCGGTCTGGGGCACTCGGGGCTTTCTCTAAGCTGGGGCCTGGAGGCGGGGGTGGGAGAGGCGGGGAAGAAGTGAGCTACCCGGCCTGGACAAAACTGGGCAGACCGCCTGGCCAGGTGGCTTCCGGAGCCGCATCTCCCTCCCCAAAGCAGAGGATAATCGTGCCACCCTGAGAGTGATTGGGGGTCAGACGGGCACACACACTAAGTGGTCGCTGCGCAGTAACTCTCACAAGCCCTGTGGGGGGACCGGAGGAGACTGGTGTGGCCCAGCAGGGAAAGCCTAGCACCTCTGCGGGGACAGGCACCCTGGGGTGACAGGAACAGGGTTGGGAGCTGGCTCTGGGAGGCACTAGGAAAGGGCAGTTCAGGTCCTGAAAGAAAAGCCTCCAGAAGGAGGAATGTCTTCGTGAACCTCACTACCCACGTCATGGCGGGGGGGCATCGTGCAGATTAGCGGGTGTGCTAGCCAGGAAGACTCGGGGGTGCTTTTCCAAAGAACTGTAAGGAGAAGATCCTGCACCCTTCCTCATGCTCAAGATGCCTGTCATTGGGAAGTTCTGCATGGTATCTCTCCCAAGTTTTGCATGCTGCTGCCCAGCACCTACATGGCCCTGTGCTGGGCTGGGAGGCACAGGCAGAAGTTCCTTGGGGAAAAAACACACTCCTCAAGATTGGAGGCCCGTGTTCAGCTCCATGGTGACAACCTCGTGCACCCTCAGCTTTGGAGGGACCCGGCTGCCTCCTGGAAGAGAGAGGGCTAGTCTTAGAGTTCTATTCTCAGCCTCTGTCAATCTCAAAAGCAATGTCCTTCACTGCTGGCACCATTGGCTGGAACCACGGGTGAGCCCATGAATGCTGGAAGAAGGTGGGCACAGCTGAACCGCACACAGGCTTCCGGTGCTCTCAGTGGTAAACAGAGACAACCTGACCCTAAACAGTCATTTGCAGGCTGCCCACACGGTCCTACCCACCCACATCTCTCGCTGGGTGAGTGATGGACCTGTTCGTTCAAAGACCCCAGGGCCTTTCCTTGCTTGACTCCGTAGACATCCAGGGCAGTATGGAATCGCATATTCCAGGATGAAGGGGCCCCAGTTCCCCCCTGCTCCGGGCAGACAGCTCTACCAGGAGGGTCCTTGCTGCCACTCTCTCAGCCCCTCGCTGCTCCGGCCTCTCGCTGCCCCGCCAACGGTCTGTCCTGTGGTGCTGCAGTTCCTGTGCTGCTCTGTGACTCCCCAGGCCTCCAGCCCAGGCTGCTGGAGGAGGACAGAGGTGCCTGGTCACCGGCCCTGACTCCTCCGGCACCCACCAGGCCAGAGCTGCTCCTGCTCCCTGCTGGCTGGGCTCCTGCAGCCAGTGTGCAGGCTCCTGAGGCTTCACACCCCTCCCCCCAACCCTCCCAACCCCCATCTCCCCTCTTCCCAGACTGCTCCCCTCCCTGTGGCTCTGAGGGCAGGACACTGTCATAACTCAGCAGAAACTGGGGTACCAGCCAGTGCATGTGCTCGTGGAACTCAAATTGCCTGAATTCCGAGCCTGCCCTTGCCTTGGTCACCGTGGTGCCACACTGCCCGGTCCTCAGACTCCCCGCCAGTCACTGAAGCAGCTGGACATGAACCCCATGTGTCTGGCCTGGGACACTCGGTCAGGCACCTTGGCCTTCTCTCCCAGCCCTGAAGTAGTCACTTCGGGGAGTCACCTTCCCACAGAGCCCTGGGTGCTCCCTCCACCTTCGCTGGGTGTCTGTTTCCAGTTCCCCGGCTTTCCAGTCACCCCCCTCTCCTGTTCTCCCCGTTCCAGTGCATCCTCCACCTTTTGCCACCACGGCGCTCGCTTTATGTTGCGGCCCCCACTCAGAATATCCTTCATCTCCAGGACCCCCCTGCCCGGTTTTACTTCCCAGGCCTCCTGGCGGATAAGCAAGGCCCCCACCAAACCAGACCCGAGAGCCCGGGCCCCATCAAGCAGGGGCTCTGGAGAATGGGTCTGGCCCAGGCTACAGGAGGGAGAAAGCACTTGTTCCTGGAGGTCAGGGAAGGCTTCCAGGAGGAAGCGACTTTCGAGTCGGGTGGACTGGGAGCGGGTGAGGAGGCACTGGCGCAGAAGGGTTGGCGCTGCCCAGCCCTGAGGCCTCTGGGAGGTGCCTGGAAACAGGCGGGTGGGAAGTGGGGTGGGTTGAGGGGTGCCATGCCGACAGCCTTCCTGAAGCCGGGGATTTCACAGCACCGGAAGGGGGTGCGGGTGGGGCCAGGAGTCCATTCCATCACCGCCAGTTACTGACCAGCTGCTCCTTCGGCCAAGTCATTCCTGTCACTCAGTCTCAGTAGGAGAACAGGGGTGGGGAAGTCTCAGGAACAATGGATGAAAGTGGAGCCTGTGGAAAGCAATGGGGGCCATTAGCCTCCTGCCTTTGTCCTCCCAGCTGGGCGGTATGACAGCCGCTGCTTTTGGCACCTGTCGTGACAGCTGACCCTGCAGTCCTGACTCCAACCCGTGATGGTCTTCCAACCCCAGCTACCCACCTCAGCTCAGGATGGCCCCTCCCACCTGTTGCTGGCCATGGGAGGGGGACAAACGCCCCCCGAACCCCTGTCCTAGAGGAGAAGGAAGAGCCACCTCACAGGGCAGCCACATGGCCCCAGGTTGCCAGGTGTCAGTACTGAATTGTCTGGATTTCTGTGTACCCAGGCCCTGCAGCCAGGGGTGGGTGAGGGGGACAGCCACTAGGGATGGGACAGAGCAAGCAGGACCCAACACGCCTCCCCTAGGAGCCGCCCCTCAGCATCCAGCTTGTTAGCAATTGTGACAGTGAGTACATGTGGCTTTGGTAATCAACACGACCTGTAACCTTGAGATACCACATATAAGAATGTAGCCTAAACAAAACAAAACAAAAAAATGCATTTGTGTGATAGCAGGTATCTGCTGCTCCAGCCTGTGTTCCCAGAAACTGGCCGAGGGGCTTGGTGGGCTGAGAGGCGGAGCCCACGGGCTGGGGTGGGCTGCAGCAGATGGTCTGGTACAAGTGCCCAGAGGACACACGGCCTCTGTGAAGGGTGTCCAGGGGCCCAGGCATGGGGGCGTTCGGCCAGGGAGAGACCCAGTCCACCCCACAGAACGCCCTGGCTGGAGGGGTTCGGACTCTTTGCTTTACAGACGAGTGTCCTGAAGTCCACAGCCTCAGGGCCCAGAGCCAGGCTCTGTGGCCTCGGGGCAGCGCTCGCCACACTGTGGGGTCCTTACCACTGTGGCCTCTGGCCATGACAAGTGACTGCCTCTCATGGGGATCCAGCCGCTTCTGCTCAGCAGAGCCTCCGTCCTCCTTGTCACAGCCACTGCAGACGCAGGCCAAACAACCAGCACCTCGGTTTGAGCAGATGCAGAAACTGAGGCACATGCAGGAGACACCCCGGAGTCCTGCAGCACGAGGGGGTGGAGCTCCCACCAGAATCGGAACTGACTTGGATGGAGGCCCAACGACGAACCCAGGGCAACGTGTTGCTAATTCTGTGGCCCATCTGGGTGGGGACCCAGAGAAGGTGCCCAGCTTCTGCAGACAGAAAACTCAGGTTCGTGGCATGTGCAGATGGTGAAACGTTTTCTGTATTTGTGTGCAGCTCCCACCCCAGTCTTGGTAGATCCCGATTCATGCTGGAAGGGACTCTGCGAAGTTCTGAAAGATAAGAGGTAGCCACTGTCTGCTGGTAAGCTGTGCCCCCAGCCTGCCCTCCGCACAGGTTTGGGCTGGCCTCGCAGTTCAGGGCTCTGACTTCGCCACAGCTTGCTTGGCTTGATTGGATGACTTCTGAGTCTCCCCTGCACCTCCATTTCTCTGCCTGTGAAGTGGGCAGAAATACACTGTCATCGCAGCTCAAGCAGCTCTGGAGTGATGCCCTGTTTGATTACCAAGTGGATTAGAAGTCCTGTGCACTTGATACAAGTAATTCTATCCTGTACATGGATAGTTTCGTTGAAAAGCAGCCTCAGGTGGCCTTCCCCCAGCCTCCCCGCCCCTCCCCTCCAGCCCCGACAGAGTGGGCTGTGAAGGAAAGAGAAAGATGAGAAAGACGAGAGGCTCCTCCTGGCACCCCTGAGGTATCGCTGGTGCTGTTCTTTCTTGCTGAGGGCTCCAAGGAAGACCCAGCAGGGCTGAGCGCCTAGGCGGCACCCCTGTTCCTGCCCGTCCTCCCAGGCTTGGAGTGGTCTCTGCAGAAACCGGCTGCAGGCTGGAGGGCCAGGAGGGCCCCGCCCAGGCGCTCAGCCCTCGGGCCACTGAAAATGTGGAGCTGCACCCTGACCTGCGCCCTGCCCAGCATGGCTTAGTTGGTGGGCGTCCCATCCCGAACTCCACTTTTTCTGGAACCTGTGTCTCTTGGTGAAAGAGAATCCCATAGCATGCAAGCTCAGATCTGGCCTCTGGCCAAGGCTGGGTCTGAGCAGGTGCCCTGGGCATTCAGGTGGAGGGTAAGTGTGCGCTGCCCCGGGGGCAAGGCACACACTGCAAAGTCCCTGGGGTCCGGGCCTCGAGATGCCAGGGGCAAGGGCTCTCGGGTCCCTGAGGTCGGCGTGAGGATGGGGGCCTGGGCGCCCTGCTGCGTCAGCTACTGATTCTGTGTGTTTCTGCCCTTCCTTCCGATCTTGCTAGGTTTTTTCCATGAACAGTGCTTTTGAAGAGGGTCTTTCATCAATTGCTCCTTCTGGAAGTGGGCCTCAAATAAACAAGCAAGCACATAAATGAAACGCGTCCCTGTGGCTTTTCAGGAGGCTGGACATTAATGGAGCAGCATTACCATCTCCACAACGGTCACCATCTCTCCCTCCCACGGGGTGTCAGGGAACTGTAATATTGATATCCAGGCCTCTGATGGCCTCGGCAGCCAAAGCCACAGGCTGCACATGGCTGCTGCAGGCAGCCTGCGGCCTGCACAGGCTGGATGTCTGGGGCTGGCCTGTTGGACTTCAAAGTGGGTGGAAAGTGTCGCGGACATTGGAGCCAAGGCCTCCCTAGACCATGGGCCCCCTCCCTGCCACCAGCAGGCACTGGGCCACCCCGCTCTCCTCACAGACGAAGGACAGAGGGTGGCATGGCTCTCAAACAGGCTCAAGTCCCCAGCTCCACCCCATCCTTGCTGAGTGACCAAATTACTGACCTTCCGAAGCCTCGGTTTTCTCGTCCATGAAGTGGGCATAATAATGCCGGCCTCACACAGCATAAAGCACCCACCCAATAAATGTAACTTTCCTCCTCCTGGGTTTTTTCATTAATTACAGTCCAGAAGAAGAAACTGTGTTCATGAACACAAATGCCATTCATTTATTCAACAAACACAGACGGGTGCTGTTTGCACCTGAGCCCTCGGGCAGTCAGAGGCGGGGTCCGAGCTCTGGGCAGAGAACACGCACAGCCCATGTAGCAATAAGGCACGTAGGCTCTGGGTTTTGTCGATAAAGACGAGAAGGCACAGGAAACGAGAAGAGTCTTCAGGAGGAATATCTCGGTCTTCTAATCTCAAGACTGAGGGTGACCTGAAGGCAGATCAAAGCCGTGTTAGGAAAGCAGTTCTTTAACTGTGAGTCACTTCCAAGCAGCGGGGCCTGGCCAAGGCCTGGGGCAGCCGGCCTGAGCCAGCCACTGCTGCGGCCCCGGCTCCGAGAAGCAGGGCAGAGTGGGCTCCGTGGACCCCAACAGGACTGAGGTCAGAGGGGCCTTCCAGGAGCAAATGGTGGAGCCAGAGAACCAAGAGAGTAGGGTTCAAGTCTCGGGGCTGCCACTCAGTGAGCCGTGGAACTTGAACAAGTCACTCAGTCCCCAGAACCTCAGCTTCCTCATGAGTAGGAAGGGCCACCCTGAGACTGCGTGAGAGGAAGCTTGTGAGAGCTCTTTGTCAACAGCAAAGTGGCCTCACCGGGGCAGGCAGGAGCCAGAAAACCTGCGTCGTTGGGGTCTTGGTCCACCAAGCACCCTCCGAGTGAACCTAAAAACACTCCTGTCAAAACCTCAGGTTTTCCTGCCCCACGGAGATGAGGGGACAGTGGAAGTGTTCGGGGAAGGACTTTGTAAATTGGGATCTGTCCCCCGGCTTGCGGCCTGGGCCTGTCGTGGCCTGGGGGCCCCAGGCCTCTGCAGCAGGTCCAAGAAGCCTGGGGCCTTCACCGCGGCCCTTTACTCCCAGATGCTCCCCCAGAACACTGCAGGGCCAGGCCCTCCCTCCCAGCCCCCTCAAACTTACTCACCCAGGCACAGGAGCAGTGAAAAGATGCTCAGTGCGGTTAGTCATTAGTCATCGAGGAAATGCAAACTAAAACCCCCGAGGAGCTGCAGCCCCACACCCTCCCTGGACCGCGACTGTGAGGAAGGACACGGAGCCGAGCAGCGGGAGCTGTCCCTTCCCTCAGGAGCAGCCAAGGGGGAGGACGAGCAATGGGGGCATGTTGGTGCCTTCAAACTGGCACGGTGAGGGTGTTTGCACCTCAGACACCACCAAATGCCACGAACCGGGGCCTCCGTGCACCCCAGGGAGCTGGTGGTTGAACATTTACCGGGGCGACCTCCAGCGGAAACACACCCACGCACACTGGCACACGAGTGTTCGCCCCGACTTTACGCATGATGGCCAGAAACTGGGACAACCTACACGCCGATCAGCGGGAAACAGATGAGCGACCGTGGCGCGTGCCCGCCACGGAACACGACTCAGCAGAAACAAGGAGGGAGCTATTAATACACACAGCGACTTGGACGAACCTCAGAGCCATTATGCTAAGTGAAAGCGGCCAGGTTATACACTCTTTTTGAAAGAGTTCTAAATGACTGAATTTATATGAAATTCTAGAAAAGGCAGAACTACATCAATAGAAAGCAAATTAGCAGTTTTCCGAGGTGGGAGGCCTGGACATGTGCTGGGGGTGGAGGAAGAGGATGACCTGGGGGAGGGGCGTGAGGGAGATTTGAGGGGTGCCAGGCACGCCCTGCATCCTGTGGTGCAGTTACCTGGTGGCAGTTACCTGGATACACATACTTGTCAACACTCACTCACCTAATTGAACCCTTAAAATGGATCGCTTTTTGGTATGTAAACTGACCTCACCCAACGTGTGCGAACTGAACCAAACGCTTACCCACTTTGCATCCCTCACCCCTAGGCCGTCTCTCGGCTAACAGGTGTGTGGCACCGGTGTGCCCGCAGGCTGCACACCTCAGTACCAGCCTTAGAGAAATCCGCTCACCCCAGTGCCCGTCCACAGGGCAGGCCAGTGGGGAAGCACTTTTGAGTCAGGCTGGCGGGACTGGGCAGAGGCCACTCGCCCACCCAGGTGCCTCTCGACCTCCGTCCTCTGCCTGACAATGCCCCTGACCTGTGGAGGCTGAGTGACAAAACCCTCGTCTTCCCCCATGAAGGCTGGTGGAACTGAGAGGACTGGGGTTGCTGGCGTTAGGAGAGGTGACGGGAGGAGGCGAGGGCCGGGAGGGGCCAAGGCCACGTCATCCTTCACCGTGTGTGCTTGGGGGGTTAACATATGGCAGATAGTAACCAGCTGCTCTCTGCCAGCTCCAGATGGATTTGTTGGGATCAGGAAAGACTGAGGTGGGACATTAGTGCTGAACTTTCTGAGAGGGCTCTTGAGTATGTGCACACTCGTGTGGGTGCCTGTGTGTGAGGGAGCCAGTGCTGTAGAGTCAGGGCGGCGGACAAGGGCGGCTGGGATACAGTTCCTCTCTAGACAAACTCCACTCTGAAATGAGCTTGGGTCCCTCTGGGCTGGGGACAGGGAGATGGAGTCAGGCCCTTTCTCTAGGTACCTAGGAAGGCAATTAGTGGGCTGGTCCATAAGCAAGACCCCAAACCAGAAGCCTGCAGAGCCAGATGGGTACTCACTTCCACAGCCCAAGCCCCTCCCAGGTGGCCCTGTGCACTCTCCTCCCATTAGGGCAGAGGGGACCATCCGTCACCAGCAGGGACGGTGATGTCACAGCTGCAGGCTCCGAGCACAGATAGACGGTTCCAACCCCTCTGAGGCGCTAAATCATTCATGGGGCAGAGAGCCCCAGTGGCAGGAGATTTACTGCCGAGGAAACACTTTAGGGACTTGTGGAAATCAATTCTTTAAAGAGACCCATCAGCTGGCACGTGGCCTAAGGCTGGGGCTTGGGAGTGGGGCAGGGATCCAGTGAAGCGGGACTGGGGTGAGGGGCAGCTTCCCAACTCCAAACTGAGGGGAGGAGAGAGCGCAAGGCCCGCGCCCTGTGGGTCCAAAGTGAAGGCAGACTCCCTGCACGCTGGGAGGGAGGGAGGGGGACTCCCAGCTCACCAGCTCCTGCTCCTCCCGCTACCCCTATGGGGTTTCCGTGCCCATACCGCGGGGGCTCCCCAAGTCAGCAAGACGGAGTGAGGACCGCTGCTGTGATGTGCCCGCTGAGCCCGCTGGCTCTGCGACCTCACAGCACCCGCCCCATCCCACTCCACACAGTCTCTGCTGGAAGCGGAGTCTCCGGCCGGCTCTGGCTTCTCTGGAGTGGAAGCTGGTTACCCACGAAGAGTATGTGGCTTCCTCGAAGGCCCAAACAGTCCAGAATTTCAGAAATTGGTGATTCGGTTCCCGGGGTACCACGTGCTAATTTAACCTGGAGGAGCACGTGACATCCAGAAGTAGCCTGGGGCTCCTGCCACCCCGCCCCCCCAGCACACAGTGGGATCTTCACGTCTCGCACAGCAGGGCTCTTCCGTCCGGTCCAGCCCGGCTCACACGTCTCCGTGGCTGTGGCCACAGCACACTTCCTAAGTGTGTCTGGAAGAAGAAAGGAACAGCATTTTCCAATCGGCTTCGGAGAAGACAACACACCTCCTGGGTTTCCTTTCAATTCTCTCAATGTACAGGTGAGGAAACTGAGGCCTAGAGGGGAACATGGCTTAAGCAAAGTCCATGTCCATGAGACGGGAACATGGGGCGAAGGAAGGCCCCTGGAAGTCACACCGAGCAGTTTCTGCCTCCCTGGAAATGGCCTTGGTCCCCGAGAAAAGGGGCGATGCGTTTAGCCAGCAGCGGCTGTGATGGGGAGGAAGAGACCCGGACAGGCCGTGGCCCCCGTTGTGCCGCCGGAGGGACCCCGCGGGCTCGGGTGGGGACCGCACTCCTGCTCGATGATTCTCGCAAACACATTTGAGCACCAAGCGCCTGCTGAGTGTCCTGCGCGCAGACACCGAGGTGAACGAGAGCGCCGCGGCCCTCGTCCTCCTGGAGCTTGAATTTTCCATCACCCTGGCCTAGTGCTGAAGGCCTGGGCAGGCCATTGCCCCCCATCCAGCCCCCCCCCCCCCCAGGAGCTTGGGCTGTTCTGCAGGCCCCGGGCACTCACAGCGGTTTCTCTTCCTTGACCTGGTCAAAGGCTGCTCCCTACGTTAGGGACCCCTGAGCCTCGGGCAGGACTCCTGGTTGCCCCGCCACCTGTATCCGCGCCGCCTCAGCCAGTCCCCCGCCAGCGGCCTGCAGTTCGAGGTGGGCCGAGCAGGCGGACGCCTGCAGGCGCGCAGGCCGGTGGAGCTTCGTGACGAGCAGACGCCTGGAGCGGAGGGTCCGCAGTTCCGGCCGCCCCAACCCCCCACCCGCGTCCAGAGCGCTCCTCCTGCACCCCCGCAGCCCCGCCTCTCCCTGCGCTCCCCCATTCTCCACACGCCCCGCGCCGCCTCCGGGGCAGGAGGGGCGGTCAGCTCGCAGCCCCGGGCTCTGAGATAACCCTCCTGGTAGACGCCCGGGCACTTGCTTCGCACCCACCCCTCGGGTTTGTCCCCAGGAAAATCCCTGCAGTTCCGAGGTCCCCTCCGGTTCTCCGAGAGGGACCTAGAGGCCGCAGCCCGCGCACAGGACCTGGGCGGCTCTGAGGCAGGGAGCTCCCCGGGCGCCCACCCTAGGCGGTCCCCCGGCATTTCCGTTTGAATCCCCCAGCTCCCTACCCCCGCTCCAGGAGGCCTCTCTGGCCCCTCCGACTCAGCCCAAGGCACAAGCCCCAGGCAGGCGTCCGGAGAACTGGGCAGTGGTCCGGGCTCTGGCCCCAATTCGGGGCCTACCTGGGCTCTGATGCCTTCTGTGAAAAAGGAGGGGCTGGATCAGACAAACCCCGTACCCCTGGGAGGGGGCGCGGGGTCAACCAAACGGACCCCAAGGCAGACAGCGAGAGGCGACACTCGCAGTGACTCGGAGGCTGAGAGCATCCTGAGCCGGGGCCGCAGGGGCGCAGGCCACCGAGGCAGCGCCGTCGGCGAAGCGCGCCCCGGGGAGGTGGGCGCAGCGGGGCTACGCGCCTGGACAGGCTGCCAGCTCCGAGCGAGGGAGACGAACACGCGCCCCGAACGCAGTGCAGGGCCGGACCGAGCTGCCTGGCAAACAGGGAAAAGGCCGTCCCACGCCCGCGCACGAGCTGCACGTCCCCCTCCAAGAAAGGCGGGCAACGTGGCCCTTTCGAGCGGGGGTGGCGCCTGCAGGACTAATAACTGCTTCCTGAAGAAGCGTTTTGCTTTTGCTGTTTCCGAAGCGCGTGCAAAAAAACATTTCGTTACTCGAGTCTCCGGACAGTCCTCTGACTTGGGCAAGCTGCCAGTTTACAAACAAAAACCATTTTTTTTTTTTTAAACCGAGGCTCATAAAGGTCAGGCAGACGCCCAACAAATACGTGTTAAGTGCTTACAAACAGAGATTATTCTAATTTGAGACAATTAAACCTTAACTCTCTGAAGCATCCCAAAACAGAAATAAAGGGGTTTGCCTGCTGTGGGGGCTGAAGTTTTCAGCTAAATTTTGCTTTGGACCCGGGAAGTGAAACGTGGCCCGTGGCCAAAACCGCATCTGTGTCACCGACCTCTGGGTCATCTGCTGAAGGCTGCGCCCCCCCCGCCTCCCCGCCACCAACTGCAGACAAAATCTCCGCTTAGAACCTCGGGGTTCCCAGCCCTAGGGCTCCGGAATGGCTCCGGGGGGCAGGCGGGGACCCCGGCTCTTCGCACGTGATGTCTCACAGGCCGGCTCCGCGTCGGGGCGCAGTGGATGCCGGGGGTTGGGGTCCTCCGGGCCAGATCCCGCGGGTCAGGTGGATGGAGAAGCTAGGTTTCCAGCCCCGGAGGGACCCCGGCCAGCTCTGGCCTAGCGGACAGGGCCTCTTTCCAGGAGCCACGCCCAGTTTTCTCCCCCCATTTCCAAAAGGAGGTGCGACGGGTGTTGGCTTTTCACGACAGAGGAGGAGACCCAGGCTGGACTCAGTCCAACGCCCTGAGCCCGCACCTAGAGCTTGGTCCCTCATTCCCGCCGGCCGCCTTCCCCGCCGACTCAGGTCACCCACATCCTGGGGTGGGCGCTCAAGCCTCAGCCTCCGCCAGGGCCACACTCAACGGGGGTGTCGCCTGGTGGAGGAAGGTGGGAGACTAGGCTGCAAACCCAGCTCAGGTGGCTCCCGGCCGGCGGGCAGCGGAAACCCCGGTTGAGCGTGTGACACCCCCACAACCGGGGGTGTGGGGACTCCGTCCCCACCTCTACCCTGCCCCCCGAGCCGCAGTCGCTCTCAGCCCCGCAGGCCCCCCTCTCTCACTCACTTCTCCAGGCTTCAATAGACCGAATCAGACTTTTAAAAAAAATTCCTGGAGTTTCTTTCTTTTTTTTTTTTAATTGAAAATGTAACACAAGCATACAGTAGCCAAACACACACCTCAAACTGCCTAGAAAGAATCCAGACGAAAGGAAGTCCCTGTCCTCTGGCCCTTAGCTGTCCCCCACGGAGGTCACTCCCATTGGCTCAGTCCCGGTTTCCGCGGGAGACTTCTGTGCGCACAAAACCTGGCTCCAGCCGCCACCACAACCACTGCATATTTTCACACAAACAGAAGCACGGTGTCTTTTGCGTTTCCCGCTTAACACCCAAAATACTTCCCAGGATGTACGAGTACGGTCCCCCTGCTCCTCCACAGAGCTGAGCAGATTACCACGGCGGGGGCGCCTTTGACCCTCTTCCTCCGCGTTGTCGTTGTTCTTGCCCCACGATCCCGACACTCCTCCCGCAGCCCAGCCTCCGGGTTCCTGGCCCCCAGAGAACGTGCAGAGACCGTGCGTCTCTGGAAGGAGAACGCACAGCCGCGCAAACACACCGTTTTCGGGAAAAGTTGGGAGATTCGTTGGGTTTCAAACACTCCTGCAAGCTCCAGATTCCAGTGTAGAGCCCTGGGGGCTGCGGCTGGGCCGTGACCGAAAGGCAGTGCAGAGGGGCCCCCAGCATCCCGGAGCCCCCGGCACGCGGCCGCGGAGGGGCGTGGGGTGGGGGGTCGGCGGCGAGACCTGCAGGGGCAACACAGGAGCCAGAAATACGGCGGCGGCGCGCAGACGGCCGGGAGGCGCAGGCCGGGGCGCAGGGTCCCAGGCAGTGATGGTGCCTGTCCTGCCGTTGGCAGAGACGCACGCACGTCCCCACACTTGCCTTCTGTGCACCGAGTCGTTCTACTCATTTTGCAAATAGGGAAACTGAGGCTCTCAGAGGTCAATCGCTGGGAATGGCGCAGCAGCTGGTAACTGAGGCGGGGCTCCCCTTACAGAGAGTGCCAGTCCCGCGGTCGTGGGGCCGAGAGCCCGGGGCAGCGCGGGGGCCCGGCCAGCCTAAGCGAGGCCCGCGAGAGGACACCCGCCCCTGCCCCTGCAGCCACGTGGCGGGAAGGGAAGTGAGATCGAGAGGGTCGACGATTTTTTCACCCAACATTTTCGGCACAAATTGGGACTGTCGTAGGGGGGCGAGGTTTGGGGTTAAGGAAGCAAAGTGGGGCCGGGAAAAACACCAATATGGCCGGAGAGAAAAGCCAAGGAGAGAGCGAGAGGTCATGTCCGGGGACGGAGTGAGGGGCGCCGCAGTCCTCCAGGTTGGAGTCGGCGAGGTGGCCCTTCCTACAGGTTTTGGGGTGCTTCCTAAGCCCGACCCGCAACGCAGGTCGAGGAACCCAAAGCCATGCGTCGCGTACGCGCGGCTCCGGGGGGAGTGGGAGGTTGGTGGCCAGCGACAAGGGCTTCTCCAGAGGGAGGGGGTGCGGCCTGCGCCCGGGAGGGCAGCACGCACGTGGGCGCGCGGGGAGCAGGGCAGGCAGGCGGAGCGTGGACCTGAGGTCGTCCCGAGCCGCCTCCTCCCCCGCCTGTGCCCCGAGCCGAAAGGGATCCGAGGTATCGGGTCCCTGGGGGCCGCCCCCTTAGCGTTCGGGTCCAGCTCGGGTTACCGGCCGGGCCCGCTCCCTAAAATATGTATGAGGCTTTTGCGGGTGTAGTTTCGCGGCCCCTCCCGGAGCGGGGCCGGGGGCGTCGGCGTGCGCCGGGAGCCGGGGGCGGGGGGCCGCGGTGGGGGCGAGAAAGCAGCGCCGGCTCCCGAGGCCGGCTCGACTTTCAGCAGCGCATTTAAGAAAAGGTGGAAACTGGATCTGTCTTGGCGGTGCCCCCGCCCCGCCAGCACCGACGGCCGGACCCCAAGGCCTGGTCGGTGGCTCGCTTTGCGCTGAGCGGTGTCTGGTTCTCAACAGCAGGTGAATGGACCCGGGCGGGGCGCGCCGGGCGCGGGGGCGGGGCGCGCCCTATAAAGGGGGAGCGGCCGGCCGCGGGGGCCACTCGCCACCAGAGTGGCCTGCGCTCCGGCTTTGCAGTCTCTGGCACACCGCGCCCCGCCGCTCGGCATCCTGCGGCCCTCGGGGACCAGGTAGGACGAGTGTGGGGATGCCGCCAAGGAAATTCGGGGTGACCTGGCGAGGCGGGGAATGTGTGCGGGCCGGGAGCGGTTAATGTGGAAGCCCCCACCCACACACCTTTGGCGTGATGGGCCCATTGGCCCTTTGGCTTAGGGTCGCCCTGTCCGGGTCCTGGCGCTTCGAACCCATATCTAGCTGCGCTGCGAGGGAGCCCAGCGACTGTGCGCGGGTGGGAGTCTGGCCACCTCCCCCGGCTGCGACCTCCAGAGGCGGAGCAGGCCCCGCCCAGGAGTCGGACCTATTGAAGGACCGTATCCGCACCGTCACCCTCGACTGATCTCCGCTCGGCGGGGGCGGGGGCGGGAACTGTAGACCCCGCTCCCGCAGCCGCCACCGCCACTCCCTTCCTTCCTTCTAGCCGAGGACAAGGTGCTAACGGTCTCCAATCTTAATACAAGAAGCCCTTAGATTTGGTGGGGGCATCGGTTAAGCCCTCTCCTTTTTAGGGGTTTCTCAGTTGGCCAGGAGACCTAGGAGCTAAAAGGCAGGAAGACGGATTAACGTTTTATTTTAATCTGTTTTTGAACCGCGGTTGCCGTCTGGGGCGGCAAGGCGGGGCTGGGAAGGGCGCCCAAAACGGCGTGGGGAGGGAGGGCGCTCCGGTGCCCAGGATGCCGGGGAAGGAGGCGGCGGCCACCGCGACGCCGACAGCCCGGGAGTCTCCTGGCCCCCGCCCCGCCCCTCGGAATGCTCCCGGAGGTATCGGACCGGAGGACCGCTGAAAAGGATCTATCTAATCCGCGTCCGCCCCCTCTCGGGGGAGCTGCCGCAGCGGGGAGAAGATAGGGGGATGGGAACGGGTCTGGGGGCGGCTCCCCTCCCCCTCTCCCTTCCTGGACAGGCGGCCTTTGTTCCCGGCCGCAGCCGCGGGCAGACACCTGTGAGGCAGCAGAGCCGGGGGAGCGTAGGTGGGTGAGGACGGGGCGGGGAGCGCTTCATCCCTACTCACGCCCTGCGCCCCCGGGGCCCGGCAGACCCACTGGGGCAACTCGGCCTAACGCCATTTCTGCGGGGACGACTGCGGAGATCCATCCAGTGGCCCCAGAGTGCATCCCAGCTCCAAACGCACTTCCCCTCCCCCAGCCCAGGGTCGAATTTCCAAAAACGCAGCGCTACACACACCTCGGCTAGCTCCGGGCTCGGAGGGCGGTGGGATGGCAGCGCGTCGGGGCGCACCTCGGCCAGCGGCACCCTAGACCGAGGGCAGGAGGCCGCGGCACCAGGCGGGCGGCGAGACCCCCGGGGACCAGACCCATCCGGGTCGGGAGAGCGGGCGGGGCTCGCGGCGTCTCCGCAGTCCCAGTCGGGCGTGTCCTGCGCGGTGCACCAACCGGAGCCACATTCAAGGTGAATCATCCCGGGCCCGCCCCCCGCCCTTCCCCCCGCCTCTCGGCACCTGAGCCAATGGCGCGGAGCTGGGGGAAAGGCGGGGCCCAGGGGCCGAAAACCCTCCCAGAGTCATTATCGCTGCACTCCGTCGAGCCTCCGCACCTCTGCGCCGGAACCCGCGGGCCTTCCTTCGGCCGCGCCGTCCGAGGCATCCTGCGCACCCTTTTCCTCCGACTCCGGGCCCCTGTCCTCTCCTGCCCTGCCCCGCGGGCCGAGCGGAGGTGGCCCCCTCTCAGGTGGCCGGGCAGGGGCGTCCCCCGGCAGACCTGTCACCCGACACCCAGGAAGCGCGCGGCCCCGTCCCGGCTCCTCTTTGTTCCCCCGCGGCGCTCCGCGCTCGGGCGCCGCCTCTTCCCGCGTAGCGCAGTGGAGGATCAGGCGCTGCCCTTGGCCCGACCTGGGGTCATCTCGGGTTCAGTCCATCTGGCCCGCTCCGAACCAGGGCCCTTTTTGCCGTGTTTCTCCGGTGTGGACTCCGCGCGAGCTGGGAGGCGGCGGTGCTTCCAGCTCCGAGCCGGCGCAGGTGAGTGTCCGGGGCGGGGCCGGGTGGAGCCAGCGCCAGGCGGGGAAGAGAAGGTGGAGGCGGGCGCCCCGGGGCGAACCGAGCGAGAATCCAAGTTGCGGGCGGGGGGCCGGGCCGGCGGGGGCTGCTTGGCGCGGACGGCCTTCGGGGACGACCCAGCAGGGCGGCCTCCCAGCTCTCCCGGGCCTTCCAGCGGAGGCGCCCACGCGGCCCTTTGGTCCTGGGTCCCCGGAGACTCGTGCGTCCAGCGCTGTGGCCTTGGCCAGGGGTGGCCGCGCGATTTGAGTGCGGATTGTGTTCGGCGAGGTGCGTATCCGCGCGGGCCCCAGCACCTCCCCGGGGAATCGGGCAGGGGTGGCGTCGCCGCCCTGGCGGGCTCAGGTCGGAAGCGCAGGCTGCTAGGTGGCCGGCGACCAGGACAGAGGAGAGTTGGATATTGGAGAGCTGGCTGGTATCTTCAGCCACCTCTCAGGGCTTCAAGGTTGGTCGTTAACGCTTCGGTGGCCCCGGGGCGGCCCCGCCCAGTGTGCAGCAAGGCGAAGCAGACCACAGACTTCCATCTCATTTCTGCTTCGCGGTCGCCCATCCTGGGAGCCTCAGACCACGCGGCTGAGACACCCTCCCCCCATCCCGGTCAGCTCTAGCCAGCACCGGGCCCCTCTGGGCTCGGATGTGGGCGGGCGTCTGGATAGCGCTTCTCCGACGCCTCACTGGTGAGCCCATCCTAGGAATCGGGCTGTGGGGGCGCCGCCCCAGAGTCTGGGGTCGCTGGATTACAATGGGCCCTCCAGGCCGAGCCAATCGCCCTCCCTTCCCCCAGTGCCCGCACCCGCATCCCAACGCTGCGTGTGGCTGTGCCCGCGAGGGACTGGGGGCGCTAATACTGGCTCAGAGCGATTAGGAGCCCGGAGCCCGCAGTGTCCTAATCAACCTCCCCACCCCCGCCCCCAAGGGTTAGGTGAGGACGAGCTCCCTGCTTTCTGCCGGACTTCGCAAATCTCTTGAGGATTAAAGGCCCGATTTTCCTCCTGGAGGCCGGGTGGCGGAAATCTGCGCTGCGCCCCTGGTCCTTTGGGGGGGCGGGTCACTGGGCTCCACCGGGTGCGCACCACCCCTCCGCCCATCCCGCAGTGAGTCGACGGGCAGGTCTCTGGGCCGAGGCTGCGCCTTCCAAGAAATCTGCCCTGGCGGTGGATCGAGCGCACCGCCAGGAATGTTGCCCCGCGCCCAGCTCTGAACCGCGAGGGGGCCCGCTCATTCTCCGTGAGGCTCTGGGTTCGGATTCCTGCTGCTAATACGCAGCCTCCTCTGCTGGTTTCTTTCCGGCTCACGGCCGTTCCTCCTTGCACTGGAGGCCCTGGCTCTGCCCCTGGGGAGGGGGAAGTGGGCCCTGTGGGGTCGGCCTTATGCAAAGAAGGAAAAAAATCTGGGGTACGGTTCTCATTTGTGAGAATTTCGTTTATTCCTTTTCCCCTACCAGGCGGGTTAACAGGGCGCAGGGGCTTGTGCTGTGAGCCCACAAGTCTCCAGGCCGAGTTAACGGTGGGTGCGCAGGTACCAGGGCCTCCTTCGAAACAGCTTTTGGCCCCTCCCTTGAGACGTCACGGGGAGACAGGGCGGGCGTTCCCGAGGGCCACAACCACCCCCAGTCTCCAGCTCCTTGGGCCTCCGGGACATTCGATGCAGATGAAGGACCCCAGGGTCGGCTGGGCGCGGGTGTCGCCCGCAGATCCTGGACTCCGGAGTCCTTGTGTGGATGTCAAGTAGAGAGCCTCAGGGCCTCATGATGGCAAAAGACCCAGATCTTATTAGAGTGCTTGCTCCAAGAGGGAGTGTGGGACCTGCGTGCATGGGTGCCTGCGGGCCGAGTGCAGAGAGGGAAACCTCCAGAGGAAGCGAGGCTCCGCGGTGTGGGGAGGTGGTCCTAGCAGAGTTTAGGAGGAGCAGGGAGCCGTAGTGTGTGCGTGAGGCCCTCGGTGCCCCGGGCGCTCTGGCCGCACTGGTGTCAGGCAGCCTCCCCTCCTGGCCTGCGAGTTGGGTCCCCAAGATGCTCTTCTCTTTGCCTGGAGCTAGCTCACCCCGGGCTAGGGTGAGAGACAGGGAGCCTGCTCCATGTCCTTACCTTCATATTCCCGCTCCCAGAAGTGGCTATTTGTTTCTTTGGACCTCAAGGTCAGGGCCGCCCCCACCCCAGGGAGGGCAGAGAAGGTTGCTCTGAGGATTCACCGAGAACCATAGGCCACAGTTTTCCCTTCTGACCTTTCAAATGGAGCTATTGTTGCTTATGCTCTCCCAGCTCCCCTTGCCCTTCCCTTCTGAGAGTGGGGGACCCTGCTTTCCTAGGGCTCAGACTCAAGCCTGCCCCATCGGAGATCGGAGAGGCGCCACAAGGCTCTAGGGTGGGCGCCGCCCGGGCACTGCGTCACCCGGTCCTGCGGCATTCACATTTGCAGGGGTGAGGCCGGCGCAGGGGAGGGGCCTCGCCCAGCTTCCCTCGAGAACTCGTGCTAGTGGGGGATTTGGCCTTGGAAGCTATTCTCTGCACCCCCTCCCAAGTCAGTTGCAAAGACGAGGAAAACAGACTCAGTGTCTCCACAGAGACGCCACAGTTAGCCAGAAGGAGTGGCCCCCAAAGCCCCAGGTGATCTGCCCCAGCCCTGGCTTTGCCTGTGGACCCTTCTGTCTCTAGGGCTGGGGACAGCAGACCCTGTAAACACGGTCCTTTCCTTGGTTGCCTGTTGTGGAGCTCGTGCCATGTCGCCCGCCCTCTCTCTTCGGAAAAAACACAAAGAAGAAGGAATTCAGGGTTGTATTTAAGTCCCCTACCCCCAGCCCCCACCACTAAGGCCTCTCGTTGCTTAGAGCGGAGGCCTTGGGAAGAAGTCGGAACAGTCCCCCCGGAGGGTCTGCACTCTCTGTCTCAGCAGAGTTGCCCCGACATCTGTTGACGGAAGAATTTGGGGGTGGGCCCAACGCTGCGCTACGACCGCGTTTTGGGTGGGTCTGATGGTGACCGGCCTGAGGTGGGGGGGTATCCGGCTCCCTCCACTGGCCTCTTGGGCTTCGGTAACGCTCCCACCGCTCGGGGTGGGAGATACCCCGTCCCTTGTCCTTTGCTTTAGTTGAGTTCAGAGTCGTACCGAGGGACACTGGGGCAGAATGCCCAGAAATAGCTTCCGAAGACCCCCACCCTGCCGTGCTGGGGCGGCCTCTGGAGGACCGGAGCCCAGCCTGGGGCAGGTGCCGCTCGGGGCAGCAGCCCCCGGGGGTGGGGCGGGGGTGCCCTGCGCAGTGGGTGCGGATTCGCAGCGGTGCAGCGGTGCGGGAGGCGGAAAGGCTCCCAGCAGCCTTAGGTCACGGGGAGAAGCCTCATCGCCGAGGGTTTTTTCCCAGCGCCCAGGCCCGGGGACTCCTGCTGACCCTTCCAGGGTGCTTTTCTAGCCACCCTGCCCCCTGCATTCCAGGCCGGCTGTTCCGCAGCCGTCCGCGGAGAGCCCCCAGGGCCCCTGCCCTGGACGCCAGCCCCCCAGAGACGGGCCGCTCTCTCCTCCCCGCCCTTCTCCCCCAGGCGCTGGGCACCAGAGACGGGGGCTGCCGCAGTGACTTCTCTCAAGGCAGCCGCGGTGGCAACCTCTGATGCAACCTCCCCGGTCCCTCCCTCGCCTCCCTGCCTCTGCTTTCCTCTGCAGTCCCCTCTGAACCAGCCAGAAACCGCGCCCCTGGCTGAGTTAGCTGCGCCGCCACTGCTCCTCCGCCATGGGACTTCCTGTCCACTTGTCCACCTGGGCGGTCCGCGGTCTGGTCTGGTTTGGGATGGCCCGGGAACAGCAAGATTGGTTTGCCCCCTGGGGCTCTGTGTCTGCCACAGAGCTGGCTGGGGGACTGAGGGTGGCAGAGACCTAGGCATCTTGGACCAGGGCTGCTGGTACGTGCTCAGAGAGGCATGGAGTGACTCCCTCTCTAGCCCCCCCACTGGCCGTTGCCCCTTCCAGGCCGGGCCTGGTGCTCGGAGAGGAGAATCCGGCCAGATGCCTGCTACTGTCAGCTGGATTGACTCTGTCCCCATCCTAAGCAAGGGTGGGCTGGGTGAGGGTGGAGGGACTGTGGGTGGGCCTTCAGGTTAAGGTCAGAAACACCTTTTGGGGGGCATCTCCCCCACCCTCTGCAAAGCCGGGAGTTCAGCCCTCCTCTGCTGCTGTGGCTGTCTCCTCCAAGGTCATCTTGGGCAGAGACAAGGTTCATCGATCTTGGGAAGGAAGGGGTGGGATGGGGAGGGCGGCCGGAGGCCGGGCGGGGCCTCTCCACAGGGTCCGCAGGCAGGCCCGAGAGCCGACTCCTGTTCTGTGTATGGCACTGGTAGAATTCACTGTGAACAGTCTGGGTCAGTGAATTACCGAAGGGCCATAAACAGAGCAGAGACAGATCCTCGAGTGTCTCGGGAGCGCCCCACCCGCCGTGGCCCCACACTGGACGTCGCACACGGCTACTTCCAAGGGTGCAGGGACGTCAAGAGCCCCTCCAGCGTGACCCAGAGGGCCTGCATGACCACCACCTGCTTGGCCGATTTTGGCACTAGCACATTTTTGCTTGTGTCGCTCCGCTCTGAGCAATCATGTGCAGTGCCAATATGGGAAAAGCGGGCACTGCGGCCACTCGAACCTCCCCTGCACCTCGTTGTCCAGGCCCCACCACCGGCTCCTTGTGGGCTCCCTGGCCCATCTGGCTCAGTGGCTGTGAGGC